AGTATATAGATGATTTAGTTTATTAATTGGTAGTGAATATTGTGAGAGGACCTAAGCGTAAGCAAGGGAGAAAAAACAGAGATAATAGGTGAGATAGAATAGTTGAGTGATCTGAGGAGATGGCAATGATAAGATCTAGCAGGTCTCAAGATATGCATCATGCTCAGGTTTAATGATTAGGGCAATTCAGAATATGAGACATTCAGGCACCAGTAAGGATGAGCGTACCCATCAAAATGATTCTTTCTGTTTCAAAATCCGTTATCAAGATGTTTCGTCAGAGTCTCATTGGCCAACTGAGATACGATGTAACAACCAGCACAGCATTAAGAAAAAATGACTAATAAAATTATCTAGAACTATACAGAAAATAGGCACAGTGTATATCCATTGCTGATTGACAGTCAAAATTGACAGTCAAAATATTTAGTTTTAGTAAAATATTATCATTCCAAAATAATACTTTTGTAGAGATTGAGTTTCATTCATCTTTGATCAGTTTGCGCAGGCTCTTGTCAGTCAGCCACACACATAATTGAATAGTGAATTCCACTGAACTGACAAACATCACAACAGAGAAGAAATTTGGTGGTCGAAGAAAACAGTATAATTATTCATATTTCTACAAATAATTAGAGTCATGAGGCACATATGTTTGTGCAATACATTCTCAGATAATTAAGATCATTATTATTATTCTAAGATTACAATTTGTTGATATTCAAAGGTGAAGAAACCAACGGAGACATTCAATAAATGGTTGCTATAAACATTATGGATATTAACAGTTTGGATCGCGTTGATGACTTTTTTTGTTCAGTTGGATAGTTTCCTGTTTATCTGAATATCTTAATTCTGAATAATCTTGACGGTGTTTTGGGTTAAAGCTACGAGATATTATCGATAAGTATCCGTTATATGAATTGGATGTTAAAGATTCAATCTTATATTTTAAACTGGCTTTCAGCTCTTCAGGTTTAATGCATCCGGATATCTATGACAGTACCATTATTTTACTATTAGAATTGAATGTTTGCAAGTTATTTGAGGTAACAGAACTTGAAATACAAAAGATGAAATAAAATCAGAAGACAAAATGTCGGAGGATGTCAGATTCACGGAACTCACTTGATAAATGTCTTAATTTTGGATTTTATTCTTGGGCTGATCAGTTGACTTTGAGATCACAAGGAAAAGCCTTGCCTCTGATTGGTGACTGTGTTGTTTCAGTGTGCTGTTTTTAAGACTGCCCCAAGGACGTTTTTATGATATATGAATAAACGAGAGTAGTGTGCTCGAATTCATTGTGCTTGCTATGTGTTTGTATAATATACTTTGTACGCTTTATCAAGGCTTTTCGTTAGTAAACGGATCAGGGTAGCCTAGCTGGATGCTGGTTCACTGTCTCGCCCTCGTTTATCGACTAAGGTGAACCAGTAATTGTTTCAAGCGTACCTAGTGACGAGCATAAAACTATTAACGGATAAAAAATTTTCATTCTAAACAATAACTGTTGCAACGAATTTAACAACCAATGATCTATATTCTGGTGCCTTGAAAAAAGCGCGAATAACAAATCAGAGACAAAATGGAAAGCACAAAGTTCAAGCCAAAATTCATATAGACTAAGATCAAAGCTTATGTAAAATAAATATATCAGAATCAAGTGAAAAAGATTGTTCCTCACAATAATCTTTCACGATTAGTTAAACATTTAATCTTCTTTATTGATTAGGCTATTCGCGGTTGCATGCAGCTGAGTTAATGGACATAATGTAGTGCGAAACTTCGGTTATTCTGAAAATCGTGTATTCTTTAGACATATCAAAACAGGACTACATCTTTCATGAGAAGAATGAGAAAACAAAATTGTGTCAAGAAATACTATATTTAAACAAGGATGGATTAAATGGATGCTAGATTACCAAATGAACAGTATAGAGGAGTCGTCAAAGCAGTCAAGCCGATACATTTCACGATAAGACTCAACGCGTCAGAGTGTGCGCAATCCAACATGTATTAGAAAACACAAAGCATAGTGTATCTGGACGTGGTCCGATGCAAACGCTTTATTGGACGACTCCAGCAAAGGATTGCTCTAAACTTGCTAACAATGTATCGGATACGTACGAAATTACCTATTAAGAGGATTTATTTGATTCCAGAATTCAGGGCACAAAATTTCCAGTGTGCTAAGGGTCAACACTGACTTCCTTACTTGCACCTGTTATTTCCAATGGAGCATTGGCCGGCAACCAGTTTTCTCCAGCCAACACTGTCCTGGGCTTCCCTTTCAAGTTCTTCCTAGTTTCTGTTCATTCTTCTCATATCTTTCTCTATTTCTCGGCGTAATGTGTTCCTTGGCCTCCCTCTTTTCCTTTTGCCTTGAGGGTTCCATGTGAGGGCATGTCTTGTGATGCAGTAGGGTGCTTTTCGTAGTGTGTGTCCTATACTCTTCCACCACTTCTTCCTGATTTCCTCATCCACTGCAATCTGGTTTGTTCTCTCCCACAGTACGTTGTTGCTGATGGTGTCTGGCCAACGAATCCGAAGTATTTCGCGAAGACAACTGTTAATGAACACTTGTATCTTCTCATGATGGCTTTGGTAGTTCTACAAATTTCCGCTCCATACAGTAGAACTCTCTTGATATTTGTATTGAAAATCCTGATTTTAGTTTTGGTTAAAAGTTGTTCGCAGTTCCAAATAGTTTTCAACTGTAGAAATGCAGCCCTTGCTTTGCCGATTTGCGCCATCACATCTGCAAGGGGTCCACCTTGGTTGTCGATGATGCTGCCCATATATGTAAAGGTGTTAACGCAACCCACAGAATCTCTATCAAGAGTGACTTGGTCGGCCCATGTTGTGTAGAATCTAGTATTTTTCCCTTGATGTATGCTCAGACCTACTGCTGCTGAGGCTGCTGCTACATTGGTCCTCTTTTCTTGCATTTGTTGTTGCGTGTGCGATAGAAGAGCCAGGTCATCTGCGAAGTCCAGATCATCCATCTGAATCCTAACTGTCCAGTTGATACCATGCTTCCTTCCAGATGTCGACGTCTTCAGAATCCAGTCGACCACCAGGAGAAAGAGAAAGGGTGAAAGTAAGCAACCTTGCCTCACACCGGTCTTCACTTCAAACGAGCTTGTCAGCTGATCTCCGTGCACGATGTTGCAGTTCACTCCATCATAAGAATTCCGTATCATGTTAACTATCTTTACAGGCACTCCGTAGTGTCGAAGAAGCCTCCACAGTGTGTTCCTATCCACGCTATCGAATGCTTTCTCGTAGTCGATGAAGTTGATGTAGAGTGGTGATTTCTATCCATTTGATTGTTCCACGATAATCCGTATAGCTGTAATTTGGTCAGTACACGATCGATCCTTACGAAATGCAGACTGTTCGTCTCGAATTTGAGCGTCTACGAAGTCCTTCATTCTGTTTAACAATACTTTGTTGAAGACTTTACGTGTTATCGAGAGAAGAGTGATATGTGTGTAGTTCTCACACTAGCTGAGATCTCCTTTCTTTGGTATTTTGATGAGGTATCCTTCTTTCCGATCTGATGGTACTGGTTCGTCTTGAGAAGAATATGAAGTATTTTTGCAGTTGCCTCTACGTCTGCTTTCATTGCCTCTGCTGGAATGTTGTCTGGTCCTGCTGCTTTGCCGCTCTTCGTTTGTCTGATGGCCATACTGATCTCTTCCATTGTAGGTGAGCCAATATTAATTGGGAGGTCCGTAGATGCTGCTTCGATGTTGCGTGGGTTCAGTGGAGCTAGTCCATTCAAGAGTCCCTCAAAGTTCTCTACCCACCTGTTTCGCTGTTCTTCAGCGTTGCTGATTACTTTGCCTTCCTTGCTTTCCACTGGTCGTTCTAGTTTACACTGGTTTCCAGCGAGCTTAACTGTTGTTTCGTACAATTGTCTGAAGTTTCCAACTCTTGTAGCCTTTTCCGCCGTCTATGCTAGATCCTCCACATATTTTCGTTTGTCGAGTCTGATGCTCTTCTTCACTTTCCTGTTTGTTTCTAGGCGCTCAGGTTGTGCCTCAACTTTCCTTGCTCTTGTTCGACTGAAATCGATTGCTGCCCCCTTGTTTCTCCTTTCTTCAATTTTTTCAAGAGTACCAACAGAGATCCAATCCTTGTGATGATGCTTCTTGTGACCCAGGACCTCCTGACATGTTGAAAAATTGCCTACTTGATCCCTTTCCAATTTTTCTCCAAGGTTTTTTCCATTCCATTGAATAGACCCTCCAAGGCCTGGAACCTATTGCTGAGGGCTATCTTGAATTCGTTGAGCTTTACAGTATCCTGAGAAAAGGCCGTATTAAACTCCAAAATAGAAACGATTTCGCCATATGGCCATGACTCGATGAAACTCACTGACAATTAACATAGAAGGCAAACTTATCACTAATCAAATCTCAAGCAATAAGATCATCTTAACTTTCTATCGAATCCCGAGACATACCAAATCACAATCAACTGCCAACTGCCTAGAATTAGACGGTCGAGTGGCTAGACTCCCATTCATAGGACACTACTAAACACCTGGAACCGTACAGAAAGAGCAAGAATAGAACTTAAAGCAATCAATTGGGTTATACTGGCTCGCAATAAAATATTGGATATTGAAAGACTGTCTTCAACTTGTGCGGCTTGAATGAAAATATCGATACATAGAAAGGGTCGTTGCATGCATGTGAGTAAATCATTTTGTCCACTTGCTTGTCACGCTAAGACATTTAAAGACTGTTTAAACGGTACAGATAAAACAAAAAACACGTTTCCTAGTGACATAAAATGCCAGGAAAACAATAAAATAAAAAAGAGATCACAGCAACTAGGTACTTTAGGATGAATAGTTTTCAATTAAATGTTCGTTGAGAAACGCTTGCTTTTCCAGATGGCTGAATAATGATTCGATGGTTGTTTTTTAGATTGTGATCTGATGTCTGTATTGAAGTGTCACAATTCTTTCATTACGTAACTTCAGAATGTCATTTACACAAATGCGTATACAATCACTCTCTACACAATTATATCGCTGTTATAAATGGCAACTTTCTCGAAAATTCTCAGTATATCCTAGTAGATGTTTGTATGGTCACTCTATTAACATTCGCAAAGTTTGGAGTTCAAATATCATCCAGCCTAAACAAGCTTTTTGTTCAGATTCTGTAACCAGTGCACAGTCGCAATTACCATCGACGATTACATCAGATAACTCCGAATTGTCTGATGATCAAGATGCAATCAAAGGCAAAATGTATATTGAATTCACTTGCAAGGTAACGAAACGTAAAATATTTTTATAAGGAAATCTTTTCTTTTTAGAAGTGCTCTACTCGGTCAAGTAAATATTTTTCTAAATTAGCCTATGAAAAAGGCATAGTTATAATTCGTTGCGACGGGTGCCAGAATCTACATCTAATTGCTGATAACTTGGGATGGATTAAAGACAATAATTGGTTGGTTTCTCCAATTTGTTCACTGATGGTTATTCATTATAGGAAAATAGAGGATTGTGTAAAGGTTGACAAGAAATCAGTCTGTATAGCTTAGACAAACACTGCAAAAAAGAAATAAAACTGGAAAAGTTGATCAAACTCCATCTATTTGCATTCAATGTGTAAGTTTAATGATACATTTTCTTTTGCTTACCTTTCCCGATGATAATTTGCTCGTCACATTGAACTGTATTTCTGTAGTATACTAACTCAGTTTGAGATCTTTCTCTGTAAGGTTAGGTCTTGCTTTATCCCTTATATAGTCAATCCATTGGTATATACACTGTCTTACTTTTATTATAACTCACATTTTAGGCGAAAGTTATTAAAATTTTGACTTATTACCTGGTTTACACTCAGCGTTAAGGATCAGTTAACGTTGAGCATCTTTCATAAGTACCATACTTTTTGGTTGACAATGTGAGTCGATCCACTGTTTATCTTCAAAATTAGAATGTTTTGGTATTCTGTTAATTGAATCCTTATTCAGTCACAGTCCACTTATTTGCTTTGTTGATAGTAGGGGCTATACGACGGCCGTGGATTCAATTCGACAATTCGAATATGCATTGTTCAGCTTAGATTGGAGCATAGTAAATCTAATTAGTAGGGATTGTTAAAAAATCGTGCATGTGTGTTTATGGTCATTTTGTTGAGACTAGCTTATATTTGAAGACTTTCAGCACCGTTATTGACAGTTTGTGTTTACGTCTTTTTCATTTCAGAACGCATTATGCAACAAGATCAGTCTTGGTCAATGTATACCAAACCACATAAAAAAAGATTCGTATTTTCATTGTAAAGTGTAGATAGAATAATATGTTTGAGCTAATAATAAAAATAAAATTTCTGAAAAGTTTAACTGATTCTCAGCCATGTCATCCCACATATCTACCCATTGGGACTTTCACAATAACTCCAATCAATCACATAGATTACATTTACCACCAACTCTTTGACAGACAACCAATGATTTCGTTGCTTCACATGTTTTTGGCTTGATCAACCTCAGCATTTTCTCCAACCTTATATACCAGGTAGTCACTGCTTCAACTGATTTACAGTGTCATCTCACGTCAGCATTATTCGTTCTCGCGATGCACAATCAATGCTTGAAAGACAGTCTAATACCCGCAGCCCTCTCATGTCTTCTATTTCCATGAACCACGTCTTGCTACTACAGAGTTTCAAAGAGTGAAGCACTGCTTGATATACACGCTGTTTGATTGACAGGTGAATGCCTCACGTGCATCACAAGTAAATGGAGTTAGTAAAAACTTAGGGTTTTTTCTGAAGTTCACTTCCAATGGCTCATCCGGCTTCTGGGATAAAGTGCTTCATTCCCAATGGCTAATCTAGTCGTGATATAGACTGTTTTCGAACTAATATTTTGCACCTGAAAGGAAAGGACATACGAATTGCGCTTGTAATTTTGTTTAAAGCAATCAAGAGATTCTATATTTTCTTAGTATCTTCAAACAGGATCATGTCATCTACGTTGGCAAGCGTACCTCCTGGTACCAGATAACTCGCCGAAAACTGTGAAAATGCAGATATTAGTGGTGAAATCGAATGAAGATAGTAATCAACGTTGGTTGATGCCACCTATCGTTGACTCGACTGAGAGCGTTTGAACAGAGAACCTACACAAGATCTATATACTTCGGTAAAGCTTTCAACAAACGAAATCGTCTCAGTCAGTAAATTTGAATTCCATATTAATCGATTGTCGGTATGTAAGCCTGCGTTCTTAAGAAAAGGGCAAAGGGTAAGTACGTAATCGGTCGCGTTATCTGTCGTTGTTTCCCTTCCCATATTCAATCCATTGTTCATGATCATTGCGTAGATATCTTGTTATTCTACGTTTGAGCTGTTCTCCAAGCTTGTCGTTATGAGTTTTAAAGCACCTGTTCATTCAATTCAAGCCTTTGGAACCACTTTGACTTGGTGGCAGATATCACTGCTTTATTTCTAGCCATTGGTTATCGTTCTACGCTTTTTAGGAATAAAGATCAACTGGCGTACATAAACGGCATGAGATCCTAGCATCTCTGCCATTAAGGTTTGTTATCCTCAATCAGTCATACCCTTCTACAGTCAGCAGTACAGCTTCGC